CCTTGCTGGTTTTGAGAAATCTTTGTTTTCCTGGTCACTAACTGCAAACCTGTATTCAATATCTGAGATCCTGTCCCTACATTGGCCTAAGCTGCTTTGAATAATTTCAGTGGATCTTTTATTCTCCTGGATATCTGCTTGAATCCCCTTCATAGATTCCGTTTGTTTTCTATGCTCAGCTTCCATAATTTGCTGAAGTTGTTCTGTTTTTTTGTCTGTGTCTGCTCTAATGTCGCTAAGCATGGTGTGCATTTTGGTAATCTCTAGTTATCTCAGAGATTTGTGAAATCTCTGATTTCATTTTTTTTCTAGAGCCTCATTCAGTTGCTTTGTTGTTTCCACTTCAGAGAAACTTGGTGGTGGTGTGGGGGCGTTTGGGTTGTTCCACCTCATTGCACCCTGGGATTGCCTTTGGTGAACTGGAGGTCTGGGGTCACATCTTGCTTTAAGTGTCTTCTCATTTCTTTTCTTTCTTTAGTTTATAATTTCTAGGGTGATGCTGGTCAGTTTCCTGTGGTGGGTTGCTTCATTGGTAGTATTTAGGACACTTAGGTGATGATTACTTCTTTGAGGCATCTTGCAGGCATAGCTGGTGTTTGGGTTTGTGTGTTGGAAGATCTGATCTCTTCAGTTTGTTGGTGGTGAGAAGTTATTGCTTGTCTGTCCTCCTCCCTGGTTCTTTGGCACAGTGCCACGGTATTTTCTGTGACTGTTAGTTAATTGTGGTCTTGAATTATCAGGGCCAACAGCTGTTTAGAACAATTATGTCAATTTTGGCTGTAGTGGTATCAACAGCATCAAACACAGCCTAGAAAACAACAAACTAACCCTTAATTTGCACCTTTTAACCATATGAACTAGATTTGTGATTACAAGATGTAAAACAAACCAGATAATTATATAAGTATATGCAGTATATAAGTATAATATGTCAACTGTGTTCTCAAGGTTAAAATTTAAAATGGATTAAGGAGAAAATAGAGACGTGGAAGGAGAGAAAGAGATTACAAGAAGGGCTGGAGGATAAAGGTGAATCGAACCAGCTTGGGAAAACTGGTACAGAAGAATGAAGGAAAAGAGAGATGGAAGAGATAAAAGGAAGAACAGAACAGAACCACACCCAGAAGGAGGGTAGGAACTACTCTCATAAAAAAATGAAGAAAGAAAAAACAAAACAAAACAAACAAACAACAAAAAGAAGAAGAAAAAGAAACAAATAGTTCACTTCCATATTCTCTCTGGTTTCACTGGTAAACTGCGTGTGGAGACAGTCTCAAACCGTGCCATTCTACCCCAGCAAGCCAGCCGTTGCTTTAGGTGGAACAGGATAATCCCAGCAGGCAACCCTGAGACCAGACTCCCTGGGCTTGCCACATACCAAGCAATTTCCATGGGTCTGCGCCCTGCTCGGAGCTGCTAGAGGAAGCCGGCCTCTGTTCCAGGTTCCTAGCTCAGCCAGCCAGACTCCCAAACGACACCCAGCTAATTGCTCTCTCGCGCAGGAAGACTAAGTCCTCTGCACTCCACGCCAGCCAGTGGAGTCCTCCACGTCTGCTGCTCCCCTCTGTGTCCATGTCTGTTTGCAGAGGCCTCTGGGGTCATCAGTTGTACCGTCACTGTGACCCCATCTCCCGCAGGGAGTGTGGCTCAGGGAGAAGCCGCTGTCAGTTACTGCCTTCTCCTTCATTGAAGTTTTTCTTTTTACTGTCTTTGTGGGGTTCAGTGCATACTTCAGATTCTTCTGGGTCCAGGGTCCGCTTCCTTCTTATCTTTCGCACAATGCTGTATTCCAGCATCTGGATGGTGACTCTCAGAGAGGCTGTGTCCTCTGGTGCTTACTACTCTGCCCCCTTCCCAGAAGTCCTGTTTGATTGTTTTGAGTTATGTATTCTAGATAATTGTCCTTTGTCTGAAGAATAGTTGGTAAAAAAAATTTTCCCGTCCTCTTGGTTGTCTCTGCAGTAGTTGGCAGTTTCTTTTGCTGCGCAAAAGGTTTTTAGTATGATGAGATCCAGGTAGTCGATTCTTTGTAATATTTCCTGAACAATTGCAGTTGAAGTCTTTGCCTACATCTATGTTACCTGTTTTATCTTCTAGCAGATTAAGCGTTTCTGTTTCAGTATTTAGATCTTTGATCCATTTTGATTTTAGTTTAGTATATGATGAGAGATATGGGTCTAGGTTTAATCTCCAGCATGTGGAAGATCAGTTTTTCCAGGACTGTTTAGTGTTTTGGGTTTTTTTTGCTTGTTTATTTTTGAAGCAGGGTCTCACTAAGTAGTCTAGGCTGGTCTTGAACTCACATATAACCCAGACTGGCCACGAACTTGCATTGATCCTCCTGTCTCAGCTTCCTGAGTGCTGGGATTACAACTCTGTGCCACTTATAGGTAGGGGAGTATATTTAAACTCTGTGTCTTTCGTTTTTATCGGTACCAGGGATCGAACTCACGACTGCCTGCTTGCAAGGCAGGCGCTTATGCCGCTGAGCTAAATCCCCAGCCCCCCAGCACCATTTATTAAAGAGGCTTTCTTCCAGTTAAAATGTATGACCCTTTTGTCAAGTGGTAGTTGTGGGTGTTTAGAATTGTTTCTGTGTGTTCTGTTGATTGTAGGGTCAGTTGGGGTTTTTTTTTTTTTTTTTTTCCTGCTTTTGCTAGTACCGTGCTGTTTTTTTTTTTTATCATGATAGTTTTGTAAAGTAACTTCATATTAGAGGTTGTGATGCCCCCTTTCTTGCTCTTGTTGCTCAGAAGTGCATTTCTGGTTCCATGTAAATTTTATTTTATTTATTCATTTATTTTCTGTGGTGCTAAGCATTGAAGCCAGCGCCTTGTGCATGTATGCCAGCTTCCACTTGAATTTTAGTATTATTTTCTCTAGTTCTGCGAGGTATGCTGTTGGTATTTTGATTAGGATTGCAGTAAAAGTGAATAACAATGTTGGAATTACAGCTATTTTCACTGTATTGGTTCTTCCTATCCAAGAACAGGGGTTATATTTCCATTTTCTGATACCCTCTTTGTTACATGATCTGGAAAAGATGACCACATTCGAGTTCCTGTGGGAAAGATGGCTGTGGTTGTGCTTATCACCTGATGCAGAATTAGCAAACAAAAACAAAATTTTGCCAAACACTTTCTGTTTGCAAACCAAAGCGATCATGAACTGAGGTACCACTGTACTGTGGTTGTCAATGTAAAGGTTTTTCACTTCCTTTGTAGATTCATTCTTAGGTGTTTCTTTTTTCTTGATGCTGTTGTGAAAGGCAGTGCTTCCCTATGTAATATTGTCTCTCAGTGGGTTTATTTTTATGTACAAGATTGCCACTGATTTTGTGTATTGACCTTGTATTCTGCTATGGCTGCCAAATTTGGTAAGTAATTCCAGGAATCTTTCAGTGGAATTTTTTGGGTTTTCTATGTAGAGTATCATGTCATCACTAAATAATGATAATTTTAAATTCTTCCCTTTCTATCCATATTCCTTTCTTTCTCTCTCTTTTTTTTTTTTTTTGGTACCAGGAATCAAACTCATGACCTTGTACTTGCCAGATAGGCACTGTGCCACTGAGCTGTATTTCCAGCCCTTGTTCCTAATTTAGAGTGAAAGCTTTCAGTTTTTGACCATTTAGTGTGATGTTGGCAGTTGGTTTGTCATAGATGACTTTTATCAGATTAAGAGAAGGCCTTTCTAATTTCTGTAGGTTTTTGTTTAATCATGTATGGCTGTTGGACTTTGTCACATGCTTTTTCTGCATCTATTGAGATGATCATGTAGATTTTGTCCTTGGTTCTGTTGTTATAGTGTATTACATTTATTGAATTGTGTATGTTGAACCATCCCTGCATCCCTGGGGTGCATCCTACTTGGTATGTGATTTGATTTGCTGAATTCTGTTTGTCAGTACAGGAGGAGTTTTGCATCTGTATTCCGTAGAGAGATTGATCTGTAGTTCTCTATTTTGCTTGGATCTTTCTCTGGTTTTGAAAGTATTAGGGTAATGCTTGCTTCCAGGAGGACTTTGGGAATATTTCTTCCCTTTCAGTTTCATTAAAGAGTTTGAGATATAGCAGCATTAGGTTTTCTCTAAAGTTCTTGTACAATTCAGCAGTGTATTCATGGACTTTTCTTTGTTGGTAGATTTTTTTAAAATTTCTTTAATTTTATTACCGATATTGGATTGTTTAGAATTTTATAGCTTTTTGATTCAGCTTTGATAATTCTTATGTACTTAGGAATCTGTCCATTTTTTCTGAATTTTCCATCTTATTAGAGTACATGTAGGTTTTGATGATTTTCAGGATTTTTGCAGGATCCATTATGATTTTGCCCTTTTCATTCCTAATTGCATTGATCTGAGTCTTGTCTTTTCCTTTTTTTTTGATAAGGGTTTGTCAGTCTTAATCTTTCAAATAGCCAACTTTTTGATTCATTGATTCTTTGTATTCTTTTTTTCTTACTTTTTTAGACGGGGTTTTGCTATGCAGTTCAGGCTGACCTTGAACTCACTTTGTAGCCCGTGCTGCAGCGATCCTCCCGCCTCAGCTGCCCCAGGGATTACAGGTGTGCGCCCCCAGGTCCAGCCTTGTATTGTTTTCTTAGTCTCCACTGCATTGATTTTTGCCCTGATCTTTTTGATTTCCTCCCTCATACAGTCTTTGGGTTTAGCTTATTCTTCTTTTTCTAGATTTTTTTTTTTTTTTTTTTTTTTTTTTTTTGGCACTGGGGATCAAACTCACAACCTCTTACTTGTCAAGCAGGCACTTAAACCACTGAGCTGAATCCCAGCCCCTTTTTCTAGAATTTTGAGGTATATGTGCACATACATTACAGTTTGGGGAACAGCTTGTTAACAATGTCCTAGATGAGTTTCAGATGTTAGCCAGCTGTTGGATGAGATGTTCTCAATTATTTTTCATGTTATCATCAGTCTTTTGTTCAAATCTGAAAGACACAGAGTACTACTTTTAATTATATTGATTAAACTTTTATTTCAGCGAAGAAAATATCTGGAAGCTCTGTGAATACATCAAAAACCATGACCAGTATCCCTTAGAAGAATGTTATGCTGTCTTCATATCAAATGAGAAGAAGATGGTAAGCTGATGGGCGGCTGCTGACGGGAAGTTGGAGGTTCAGGGTTACCTTAGGAGCTGGCTGTGGCACGGTTCAGTGCTGTGGGAACCAAGCCTTTCGCATACAGCCACATTAGAAATATAGATTTTTGTTTGTTTTGTTTTTGTCTTTTTGAGACAGGGTCTCAGTATGTAGTTCAGGCTGGCCAAACTCAGGGCAGTTTTGCCTCAGCCCCCCGAGTGCAAGTGCTGGAATTATTACAAGTGTGAGCGAGCTATCATGCCTGGCTAGCTTGTTTTTGAATCAGGTTTTTTTTTTGTTTTTTGTTTTTTTTTTCCCCTTATAGGGCATAGTTGAGTTAGAAATATTTAATACCTTATTTTTAAACTTATAGGTAAGGGAGTATATTTAAAAGACTGAAATAGTACATTGATACAGATTAAGTTTCTTAGGTATGAAAGAGCTTTTTTTTCTTTATAGTGTATTGGAGATTGAACCCAGGGGTCTCTACCCCTGAGCTATATCCCTTTTTCTTTTGTATCTCTTATTTTGAGGTGTGATCTCATTGTATAGGCTGGCCTGGAATTTTGAGGCCTCCTGCCTCAGCCTCGTAACTAGCTGGAATTACAGGTTTGTGCCACCACACCAGGTTTAATTTATGTTCTTATGCGCTCTCATTGTTGCGAATTCTTATACTGAGAAAGATTTAGACTTTTTATTCATTCTTTCGCCTTGATTGTTAGCAGATTAGAGAGATTTCGTTTCTCGTTTGTGTATTGCACTGGAGCATCTAGGAGTGATTAACTGCAGCTTGTGGGATGCACTGTGTTCCTCAGATACCCATCTGGAAGCAGCAGGCGAGACCTGGAAACGAGCCCGTGATCTGGGTAAGACACCTCTCTGTGTGGGAACTCCCCACGCACTGCTCCTGAGACCTCCAAGAGCCTGGGTGCTCTGGTGAGGCAGAATTGTTAGACTCCAGAGAAAAGCTATGGCAATCATTAGTAAGTGGATCTTTGAAAATAAGTTATTTGGGCTAAGGTAAGAGTCCTGGGATATTTTGTTTTCTTTCTTTGTTATTGCAGTTTAGATTGAGCCCAAAGCCTAACCCCTCAGCCAGGTTTTGGTTTTTTATTTTGAGATGAGGTCTTTCTAAATTGTGACTCAAACTTGGAATCCTCCTGCCTGGGTCTCTCAGAGTACTGGGATTGCAGATGTTTGCCCTGCTTCTTTTAAGTTTTTATTTTGAGATTATTATAGGAAAGGTTTTAAATGGCCGTTGTGAAAGATGTGTTCATGATCTTTAAGACTCTTCATTTATTTTGTTTATTTTTGTTTTTGAGACAGAGTCTTGCTGTGTAGTTCAGGCTGGCCTTAAAGCCACTAAAGCTTAAATTGACTATGTAGCCTTGAATATTTCAGTGGTCCTCCTGCCTCAGCCTCCCAAGTGCTGGGATTACAGGTGTGCACCACCACATCCAGCTGCATTCATGTAACCTTTGCTTATTGAGTGCCTTTTATATGCCAGACATGAAATGGACTAAAACGCTGGCCCTATGCTGTTCTTGCTTCCGAAGCCGCATCTGCTGTAACATCAAGACACAGTCTGGCCTGTTGGGACTTGGACCAAGGGCTGAAGTCCTGGCCCTCCCTCTGTGTCCCAGCTGTGTGACTGGTCAGGTTCTGTCTGAGTCCCCTTGGGTTGTGAGGCTCAGATGAGGTAACAGAGAGGAAGTTTATACATGTTGGCGTCTGGTGCTTGGGAAGGCTGAGCTCGGCAGACCCCACTGTGTTGCTGAATGGCTCGGCTGACCTCTGGACTGGTCGCTCCACTGGACTGCAGGGAGAGGACCTGTGCTGACTGCCCCTTGCACCACACCTCATGGCCACATAGGGGTACCCCGCTGCAGTTCATCTCCCCACTGTGGCAGAGGCTACCCTGCTACTGTGCTGCGTGGGAAGAGACAGAGTTCCACAGACCAGGTGCCCTGAAGCTGGTCTTTGCTTCCCAGCCCTGAAAGTCTCTCCAGGCATCCAGGCTGTGATTGGGGTGCTCGAAAGGCCCACTGTCCTGTTGTACCCCCAAAAACAAGGCCCCAGGATGTTATTCAAGAAAAAGAAAAAAAAAAAAAAAAAAAAAAAAACGGGGCAGCAAGACGTCTTTTTTAAAAAGAAGCACTTTTATTTAAGCTGGCACCAGCGACACAGTGCAGGTGGAGTTTGCAGAGCTGTGCAACTGAGTTAGAATTTTGACAGATTTTTATAGCACATTAACCGAGTGACATGACAGAGCAGGAATTAGGAAGGCCTTTGGTTCCCTTTGCTTGAAGTCAGAGATGATTCGCAGTTGGGTGGTTAGCCTCCTTTTTTTCCCCTTAAGTTACAGCCCTTGGCCTGCTAATTCCAGGAACATTTGTTTCTCACAAAGGGAACAAAGGTTGACACAGCATCATTTGTCTCTCACAAAGGGAAGAGCGGTTGACACAGCAAACAGGTTACTAAGGTGATGACGCATACAGAACAGTATGGTGACACCTCAGTTAATTTATAACTAATTTGTAACAATGTGGTCAGTGCTCCAGGTACATGGTTATTAAGGCAATAAGCATAGAGCACAACAATCCCTCAGGTCCAGCCGTGTGTAGTAGAGGCCTGTCGGGCCAGACTAACTGGAAGGCTGCGGGTTGTTCTCAGTGGTACATTTTCCTGAGGTATGCCTTTTTTTCTGGAAAGTTCTCCCTTTAGACAAGTGCTAGCCATGCTGTCACTTATGTACATGGTGTCCTTGGCAGGGGCCTCCATTCCTGCTGTTTCTTGGTTGGCTCTGAAAAGGCTGAGCATTTACACACCACCCCAGGAATGCTGTGAGTGGCCGCCTAGTGTGAGGAAACAGGCGCCGTGGGGTCGTGGAGGGGCTGGCTCAGAGTCGCCCCACCTGCCCTCCTGTCCTCTGCCTTTCCACACTGAGCTTCGCTGACACCCTGCTGGCTCCCAGAGGGACTGAGTGGGACCCTTGGCCTAGGACCGCCAATTTCCTGCTCAAAGGTTCAATGACAGACTAACCCTCGGATGAAACATCATTTACGAGGGTGTCAGAGCAGTCAGAGCTCAGTGACTCAGTGCCGAGCTGGGACTGTGAGGCGTGGTGGCCTTTGCCCTATTTTTAGGTGCACGGCTTGTGGGGAGGGTGCTGGTGGGCTGCAGGAGGGTGGCGTGAACTGTTGGCATGGTCTAGGTTTAGGAATTGAGGAACAGTGCGGTTTGGAAAAGCAGACGGGGACGGATCCGCTGTAACTGACAACCTGATTGTCTGCTGCTGTGGAGGACTGGGCCGGACGGAGATCGGAAGTGTGTCCTCAGGGCCCTCCTGGTGTTATCTGTGGAGCCACAACTTCGAAGGCTGTTGGCTGGGTTCAGCGCTGGCTGTTGGTTTAAAGATGAACCTGACCTTAAGCCAGCCAGGGGTCTCGCCACAAGTCACATAGGCCTAGGACAGACGCTTGGTTTATTTTTGTGCCAGTTTATTACGTATTGCCTGGTCTGTACTGCACCATCTTCACCTCAGGGCATCTCCACAAGCAAAAGCCATGCTTCAGAAAAATCTGCTGAGAAGCCGATTTGGGGTAAGGCAGAGATAGACCTGGCGGGGCTGTGTGAGGACTGAGAAGGACTGCTGGGGAGAAAGCCTTTGAGCCTAGCAGGAAGCACATGGTAGAGGGGACCGGTCTCAGGAGCCACCAGGCAGAAGGGCAGGGCCCTCAGAGGGGCCCGGAGTTTCTCCGCAGGGAGTGCGGGATCCCCTGGAGTGCAGGGCGCATGCACAAGCGTCAGTCTCCCAGGCTGTTTCTGCTGCAGGAGTGGGAGCCTGAGGCGGCACTGGACTCTGCGGCGTTTCTAGTCTCAGGGGTCTCTGTCCCCTTGCACAACCTTTGCCCTGCTTGAGAGGAGTAACTGAGATTGTGCTTGGACTGGGCATTTGGTGGCTGTCCTCAGTGGCGAGCGTTTCTCTTCGGAACCGCTGAAGCACCAGCCTGCACTCTTCCTTGAGGAGCCTGAGGTCCCCTCTGCCCCCTGCTGCAGCGGCAGGGCCGCCTGTCTGGGAGGAGAGGACAGTGACACCTGCAGTGTGATGGGCTCAGGCCAGAGCTGGTTTTGTTTTTGGTACTGGGAATTAGAGCTGCCTTACCCTTTTCCCTTCGTGGGTTCAGATGAGGGCCTGCTTGACTCCTCTTTTAGTTAGAAGTAGAAAGCTGGACATAGCTGGGCATGGTGCCACACACCTGTAATCCACGTGCGCTGAGGCATGAGAAGCACAAGTTTGAGCTCAATCTGGGCACCTTAGTGTGACCCTAGAAGTCTAAAAATGAAAAATAAGAGACAGCCTGGGGATGTAGCTCAGTGCAGAGGGTCTGGGTTCAATCCCAGGTACCATTGAAAAATAATAAATATGTATTATGCTATCACACACACAGCTTCTACAACTGACTTTTTTCTGTTTAGCTATATAACATGGACATTTTCCCCATAAATTTGCCTCTTTCTATCTTAGTTACTTTTCTCATTGCTGAGAGAAATACCCAACTCAAAGTTAAAGGAGGAAAGATTTACTTAAAGCTCATAGTTGTAGGGGTTTTAGTCCATCGTTGGCTGGCACCAAGGCAGATGGCACGGCAGAAGACATCACAGGAGGAACAGTCCCAGAGGCAGAAGGCAGCAAAGCAGTACAGTAGCCTTGCAGCAGCAGCAGCAGCCTGCGTCTCCCTGTAACCCTCTCGCAGGCTACACGCCCCTGTGTGGTGCCACCCACACCCAGGGTGGGCCTTCCCAGTATCCTCACACAGGACTGTGCTAAACCGATCAGTGGAGTTGTTTAGTAATCACACAGCTGAGTCCTGGTACCACGTACTCCAGACCCAGCCACCTCTGCAAAGCCCCAAGTATGAACTCTTGAGCTTTTGTGGGGACATCTGTATAAAAGCCATAACACTGTCTTCCCTTTTTGTTGGGTGGGTTTTTTTGAGACAGGCTCTCACAGAGTCTCATTACATATAAGTAGCAATTATATGTCGAATGTTATTAAATAAAAAATGTATTGCAGTGAGAGCACTAGGAATGATGGCATAGTGCGGGGGAGTATTTTGAAGTTGATTAATACCAGTAATACTGTAATAGGGGTTTTAAATAATCACTGTATTTATTTATCAGTTCTTTGTAGCAGTTTCTGTCAAGATCACTATGGTATATCCTTGTCCACTTTACTCACTTAGTTTGGAACCATGCACCTTTTTTTGGGCGGGGGGCAGGGTCGCACTGTGTAGTTAAGGCTGGCCTTGAACTCATTAGCCCAGGATAGCCTCAAACTTGCAGTGGTCCACTTCCTCAGCTTCCCAAGTGCTGGGATTACAGGCATGTGCCACCATACTTCTTCTGCCTCTTCCTCAAGATTATAAAGGCCGTGGGAGGTAAATGTTTGAATCCATGCAGGAGGTGAGGCAGCCATTACAGTGAAACTAAGGACCCTCATGAAAAGGTACTTCTAAGGGTCTGGGGATTTAGCTCAGCGGCATAAGCACCTGCCCTGCAAGCAGGCAGTTGTGAGTTCGATCCCTGGTACTGATTTAAAAAAAAAAAAAAAAAAAAAGGGACTTCCAGAAGTGCGTCAGAAGCTGGCAGGGACGATGGGATAAATGTATTAAAGAGGAGGACTTGAGGGGGATTAATGGCAAATGTCTTTTATTGTATTAAGTAAAAAATTTGTAAACCTTCACTGTATTTTTTGATCATACCCCATAGCTCAGGAGGTGAGCTCACTTGTTGCCAGGCCGGCCTGAAAGTTACCCTCCTGCCTTGGCCTCCTGAGCACTGGGGTTGCAAGCGTGTGCCACTACACCCAGCCTACGTGTTTCCTTTGATATCTATATAATATATATATAATAGTCTTTTTTTTTTTAAATTTTATTTAAGGAGAGAAAAGAAAAAACAGAAAAAGGGTACAAGTTATACAGAATTTCAGAAAAAGTAAACAGTAGGAAATCACTAGTTAATTACATAATGTCATCTTAGAAATAGTTGTTGAAGTTACAAAATTAAAGCATATAGAGGGGACTTTCAAACAGTGAGACTGCAAACAGTTTTGTTCAATGATCCAACAAAACTCAGTAATATGGTTATCTATCTTATACACTTAAATATATATGCAGTTATATCTTTTAGAGAACTTTCTCTTCCTTTCTTTTGTACAATGATAATTACACATTTGGGGTTTTATTACTCTCACAGTTCATACTACTATTTTTTTTTTTTTTGAAGAAAGTAAAACCAAATGTGACATACCAGTACAGAGTCAGTCAAATCAAAAGGATGGACATAATACATAATGTAAAAACAAAATACAAGGTGATCAACAATGGTTACCATAATGCCTCTTGTTATCTTAAAAAGAATTGCCTATATCATCAGTTATAATAAAATTGTACAAAACAGTAAAGAATAAGACCAATAAAACCAAAACATTGGAGACATTAGAGGACTTCAAAAGAAGATAATAGTCAACCAGAATGGGCGTCACAATGAATCTTATTGTCTTCATAGTTGTTGCCTATACTTTCAAACTTGGTACTATCAAGCATAACAGAATAGAGGAAAATCAGTCAAAACAAGATGGTGAGAGCAATACAGAGTTTCAAATCAAGTTAATAGGAAATCAAAGTGGGTTACTATAATATATCCTGCTGTTTTTTATTTTTCCCTTAATTAAAAGGATAAAAATGAAAAAGTAGATAATAAAAAGGAGATTGAGATAAAAAAAGAAGACCTAACAACAAAAAAGCACAGGTCAAAACATAGCCATTTAAGCAAAATAGTGTTTCACCACAATATAATCTCGACAAAATAGTGGTTACCACAGTGTCTCTTCCCTTAAAATCTTTGGGTATAACTTCGTATACTGTAGCATCAAACATATCAAGACAATGTCAAACCATTCAAGAGAATGACAGTATTACAGGGTATTTAGAATCAACTAACAGAAAATGAACAATGGTTTCTGTATAATCTCCTTGTCTATAAAAGTTTTTGTTTATATTATCACATATAATAAAATCCAATAAGATACAACAGGTTAAAATCAATGGAGACAGAAGAACAAAAGCTTGATGGGACTTCAAAACAAGAGGATATTAAATCAGCACTACCTATTATGATATCTTGTTTTCTCCAAAATGGCTGTTCTTACCATCCGATCTTCTCTGCCTCATTTCTGTTGAGCTCTTTTTCTGTCATTAGTTGTCAGTTTGTCCTCTTCATTTTGCTTTCTGCTCCATTCATTGTGGCTGCTCTGCCACTGTTTCTGGAATCTTGGTATTTTTCATTTTTAGAATATCCTGCAGTAATCTCTATAGAGTTGAATTGGTGGTTGCAAATTCCCCTAGTTCCTCTTTATCCTGGAAGCACCTTGTTTTTCCATCAATTTCTAGGGACAGTTGTGCAGGATATATCAATCTTGGCTGGAGGTTATTATCTTTCAAAGCTTGAATTATTTCCCCCCACACTCTTCATGATTTGATGGTTTGTGCCGAGAAGTCTGGTGTAATTCTGATGGGTGTTCCCTTGTAAGTGATCTGTTCTTGTCTTTCACGGCTTTTAATATTCTGTTCTTATATTGGATTTCTGGAATTTTGATTATTATACGCCTGGGTGTAGCTCTGTTTGGGTTGTAGGTGGCTGGGGTCCTGTATGCCTCATACATCTGAGTATCTTTACCTTTTGCTAAATTAGGGAAATTCTCCTGGATTATTTCTGTGAATAGCTTCTGTAGTTCATTTGTTTGTGTCCCTACTCCTTTTATTTTCTTAATTCTTAAATTATAGATCCTCTTATCTTCTAGTCTTTGTATTATTGCTGTTTGTTTTCTTGTTATTTTTAAGAAGTTTTTCATTTCATGCTCCCACCTTACAAATCTGTCCTCCAGTTCTGATAATCTATCCTTGGTTTCTTTCAAGCTGTTATGCCAGCTTTCAATAGAGTTTTTAGTTTCCTGGTAATCTCTTTGAACCTGCTTCACGTATTTTATGTTTTCTCTATTTTCTCCATCAAACAATTCTCCCCTTTTTTTCTGTTCTTCCATTCGACCATCTGTTTTTTCTTGGGTGGTGCTTAGTATTTCTCTAACTATTCTACTTATTTCTTGCTTTATTTCATTAAATACTTCATTTTTGAACTTGTCTATGAGGCTCTGGAGATACCGCTTTATGTCTATAGGTGCTGTGTCGGATATTGCATGTTTTCTGTCTTCATTCTCTTTTGTACTTACCTTTCCTGGATCAGTGTTCTCAGGATTGGGGACTGAGGACCCTTTCTTGTTGCTCCCTTTTCCCATACTTTTTGTTCCTTCCATACAAGTGTATGTAGGAGGCCCAGTTTTTTTTTCCTCTTTGTCTGTTACAGTTTGTTTGAATTCACCCGGGTGTTCCCGCCCACTGCAGTGTGCTAGGGAGACACAGACCTGGGCAGCCTCTGCTGGGCCCGCCCCTCCAGGTCAGCCTACTGAATGCTTCACTGCTAGGGTGCACCACCAGGCGCAGGGACCTGATTTGGGCTAGCCTACTGGATCTTAGTCCACGGCGTCACCAGGCCAAGCACTCCCCACCACTCCCACTTGAGAGGGGAATATGCGACTAAAGTCACTGCAGGGCCCTGTTCCAGCTAGTCTGCTCGTTCCCAGAATGTCCTCTGTTGGAGTCTCCTAGTCTATGAAAGGGTCCCCATTTCTTTCACTCACCGCAGGTCGATGCAGGGCTCCCTGCCAATCCCGCTGTCAATGCCGTTTGGTTCACCGATTCCAGTTCTCAGAGCTTTCACGCGTCTCTCTCCCTGCCGTGTGGATTGGGATGCAGTAGCGGCAGCAGGAAATTCAAATCACGGCTTCCAATGGCATAGGATCCAGCTTCCGCACTGAGATTTTATCTGTTCCTGTTATAGCATCAGGATTGCATTTCCAGTTGGTTTCTCTCAGCTTAGTTCGTTCCTGGGTTGGCAGGATACATCTCCCCTCGCGTTCGACTCCTCACATGGCACTGCTCCTGGATTTTAAACTGGTAATCTCAGAGAGCCTCCGTGGCTGCTGCTATCTGTCCATCATGTTCTCCCGGAAGTAACTATAATAGTCTTTATATGAATGTATTTGTAGTTTATTTGCCATTCCTCAGTAGTTTTTATGGTTTGGAATTCTCACTATTATAAACAGCCCCACAGCAGTTATATACATATATAATGCATATCTTATGTGTGCAGCATGCCTCTACTTGCTTATGACCATTTTTCTGTATGATAGTTTCCTAGAGGTAAAATTGTTCGATCAGTTTGTTTAACCGCTTCGCTGGCACTGGGTGTTTGTTCTGGTTTCAGGGTTTTGGGCTTGCATTATTTTCTTGTGCTGGTATCAGGAGGGGTGTACTAGTTGTTTGTCTGTATTGCTATGATATATGTGCACTGATACTGGTACCCTGGAGTTCTTCATCCTTGAGCAACTTGGCTAACTTCAGCCATTCTTACTTTCAGGATTACCATGTTGTTTTGCTTCATGTTTCAAGTGGAGGACAGAGCTTCATTTATGACCTTGATACAGTGCTGCCATTTCCCTGCCCCTTTGACACATATGTAGAAGAGGCCTTTAAGTCTGACGATGACATTCATCCGCAGTTTAGGAGGTAAGGACATTCAGGATGGATTTATTGGGGGCCCTCAGAAGTTCTTCCTTTTCACGTTGAATTTTTAAAGGTCACTTACCTTGGCTACAGCACTGAACTGATGTTAGAGATGATGCGCTTGCTACATGGGAGATTCAGGTACATAAAGCTAAAAGCTTGTCCACCATACAAAAAGTTGGCAGTCTTTAAGATATTTGTGGGATAAGATCTCAAGTAGTTTCTTTCAGGCATTTTGTGATTCTCACACTTTTTTTTTTGTCTTTTTCCTTTTTATCAGTACTGGAGATCGAACTCATGACTGCCTGCTTGCAAGGCAGGTGCTTATGCTGCTGAGCTAAATCCCCAGCCGATTCTCACACTCTTGTTTGGGGAGAGAGGATTGTGTCATTCTGCCAAAACTGAGAGAGTTGCAAAGGGAACACTAGAAAATCCTGCTCTGTGTCCCCCATGGGCAATTGAATGAATAAAAGCAGCTGGACAGATGTACTTCTGTACCTTGGCAGCTACGAATTGGGTTTCCCATAGCTTTTTTCTTTTTTTTTTTTTTTTTTTGTTCACATAGCTTCTTTTTAGATAGGTGCAAGCTATACACGTATCTCTACTCTGCGAAAGTCAGAAACATGCATGAGTAGCTTTGTGTGTACCATGGAAGGTGAATCCATATAAATACTGAGTTAGAATTTCAGATTTAACGCTTCCCTAATGGGCTGCATTCTGATCTATCTACAGGAAATTTAGAGTCATTCGTGCTGATTGCTATTTGAAGAACTTTGCCTCTGACCGGTCTCACATGAAAGACTCCAGTGGGAACTGGAAGGAGGCCCCCCCACCTTACCCCTGCATCGAAACCGGAGGTGCGTAGCAGGGGCTGCTCCTGGGTTCTGGTCGTCACTGGAGATCAGTTGTCCACCAGGCAAGGATAGTTAGGTCTTTGTTCGGATGAAACTGAGCGGTGAAGGAGTCCTAGATCTGTGTGTTGATGAGATTCCAAAATTGAGGCACAGGGAACAGGACTGGAAGGCATGAGAACTTCAGGAAGGAAAGGGACAGTCCGAGCAGTCTGCTGGTTCATTGGCTGTAGCTGCTGCTGGACACTGGGCATCAGGTCTGTGTGCCGGTCCATTCACAGTGTGATCAGCACTTTGCCGTGGCTCAGCCTCATGGGATGGCGACAGAAGTCCCCAGTATACCCTCCTGATGCACAGAATGTCATTTCACTGACTTTATAATAAAACTCGCACTCGAGGGAAGCAAGAGCTTGCAGGTTTTCTGTACCACTGGCTTTCTTTATGTGTCTTAAGCAACAGTGTAGTTGATACTTTCCTGAGATGGTAAGAGAGAGAGGTCCATTTGCCTGTTAGCGCTGCCTGGCACTCATACATGTTTGGGACATTGTTTAGGTGGTGTGTCTTCCACAACATTCTCTCTCCTGGGTGAGGTCACCCCACACGTGACTCCTGCAGTCTGTGTGGCATCCCTCTAGAGCAGTGATGGTGAAGCTTTCTGAGGGTTCAGCATACAAACAGCCTGTGTGGCATGTGTGCCGTTGGATCCCAGAAAAATAGGGACAGTCGGATTAATAGTCTAACCAGAAAGAAAATTACAAATGTGTTTACATATTTGAAGGGAGGAAGCACTTAAAGAGGATTTAGGCTTCAATTACAGAGAATTACATTCCCTGTAAAAACTCTCATTATTTAAAATATAGGATACATCTGAATTATCAATAGCTAGTTAGTGGTGTTTTATAAAGAACAAAGGTCTAAAAAATGATTCAAGACAAAATTTAAATAAAAACATGCTTTAAATGTATGTATCAATAATGACACTTTTATTCAGCTCCTTGCATTTATAGGAGTGACTCTTATGACAAAATTTACTGTATTTGATATGTTGTGCATAGATTTTTTTTTTTTTTTTTTTTTTTTTTTTTGGTGGTCTTTTTGAGCAGAGTTTCACTATGCAGTTTGGGCTGGCCTTGAACTCATGGTGATCCTCCTGCCTCAGCCTCCTATGTTCTGGGATGTGTTGCATACTGAGATTAGCTTATACATTTAATAAATATCAGTGGACACAAATCTGTCTGAATGACCACTGCTTTCTACTCAGCATTTAATGTTTTGTTTTTTAAGACAGGGTCTTGTGTTGTAGGCTGGCCCTCAATGCACTGTGTAGCCTAGGCTGGCCTTAAACTCATAGTGATTCTCCTGCCTTAGCCTCGCAAGTGCTGGGATTATAGGAATTGCCACCATACTTGGTGTAGCATTTAATGTTTTTTTGTCTTTTTCTTTTTTTATTGGTACCGGGAATCGAACTCACGACTGCCTGCTTACAAGGCAGGTGCTTATGCTGCTGAGCTAAATCCCCAGCGCCGCATTTAATGTTTTTTAAAAAAGAAAATTTTTTCCCCCACCGGGAAACACATTTACAATGGGGATATGAATTATTCCTGCTTTCTGGTGCATTCTTTCTGGCCTTGCCTTCTAGGAAAGACAAGATTAGTGTTTGTTCACAGAGGTAGGTGGTCCCCTCTGCAGATCTCTGGAGCTCTTTCTCTGGATCCTTCTTCTGGGGTCCTCTGTATTCCCACTCTGAATTTCACCAGTAGCTACCTGGACCCTCCCAGGTTCAGCGCTTGCTGAGTGCAGGTGCTTGCCGGCTGCCTGTGTTCCCTGTCTTCACAGCGTGCTCTGTGGGCCTGCTTTCCCCTCATTTATTTTTGCTCCTGTGCTGTCGTTGTGCAGTGGCTGCAAACAGTTGCTTCTGTTTCACCCAGTTTTCTCGTATTTTGTTGTAGCCTTTCCTGTAATAATTCTTTGATGGGCAGAAGCAGAAATTGTGCATACATTATGATTATGATTATTAGTATTACTTTTGATGGCAGTGGTGATCGAACCTGGTAAGCATGGTACCACTGAGTTACCTCCTCGGTCCCAGAATGTTTTTAACCTGGAAAATGTAAATCCTGTCCAAGCGCAGACATGTTAGCACAACAGACTTCTGACTCCTCGTTTGAAGCTCGCAGCCACTGTGTCCTCTCCCCTACACTCGGGCGTGTATCTGAGATAGTATGTACTTTCGCTCTGAGTATTTTAGTGTGCATGTCTAAAATGTAAACGTATCTTTTTTTTTTTTGTGCAGACGTATGTTTTTAAAAGATAAGAAGCCACAATGTTATTGTTGCATCTAGAGAAATGAATAATTCTTTAAGATTGTCACCTATGTAGTCAGCATTCATGTTTACAGTTATCTCATGAAGCCCTACTCTTTTTCACTAGTTTATCTGAAAGATCCAAGAGAAGACTGTAGTGTTTGCCCAAAATGCCTCTGAAGAGTCTTTTTTTACTGTACAGATTCTTTATCCAGTTCTTTCTTTGTTAATTTGTTGGACAGTCTTGGTCTTGGGGTAACAGGTTGGATTTTGCTGATTATATCTTTATTGTATCCTCTGAATTTCCTGTAATTCAGCTATTGAAGTCAGTAAATTGTGCATTTTCCCATCTAGCTTTTTATTTTGAAAATTTTAGATTTCTAGAAAATTTGCTAAGCATGACAGAGTTTCTGTTTATCCTTCATTCAATTTCCTGTTACATCTTAAATAACTGTAATATAAACTACCAAAACCAGGAAGATGATGTAGTGATACCAAAATGTTGATGTAATATGATACAAACTAGTAACTTACATACTTCATTTGCAAGTTTCCCAACCAGTTTCTTTTTTCTAGACTAGGATCTAACTGAGGGATCTTACGTAGTTGGTCATGTCTCCTCCACTCAGTGATAATTCCGTTCTGTTTTGTTTTCCTTTACAATCTTTGTACTTCTGAAGACCGCTGGTGAGTTATTTTGTGGAGTACCCCTCAGTTCAGGTTTGTGTGATGAATTCCTGTGATTAGAGGAATGTGTATTTAAGGCAGGAATGCTACAGAAGTGATCTTAAATCGCTGTTTGAATAATTTCCCCTAGTTTTACTCTTCTGTATTGTTTCATTGCTGTTAAACCAAAGTTGCATTTTGAAACTACATTTCTTTTATGTATCTTTCTAGACTACAAAATGAACCTGAATGACTTCATCAGTATGGATCCTGAAGTCGGCTGGGGAGCTGTCTACACACTACCTGAATTTGCACATCGGTTTAGCAGTAAAAGCTGCTGAACTGGACACTGGGATGTGGAGCCGTGGAGAATCCAGGATGTGAACAAGTCATGTGGTCGTTTAGGGCAGCAGACGTGGTACCACTGGTTTGGAGTTTCATGTTTCTCTTTTACTTCAGTGGAATAGAAATGTGGATGAGCACAAATACAAACAAACTGAGTAAAACCTTTTCTGGGCTGGGGTAGAGTGTGTCCTTAGTATGTGTGAGGCCCTGGGTTCTGTCCCAGCACCACAGATAAAACAAAACTCCTCTTCTGGGTTGTCAAGTGGAAACTTGCCATGGCATATGATTGCTGCTGTGTGGTGCTTGTTTTGTTCTTCTGTTTTTGGTAGCTGGGATTGAACCCACAGCCTTGTACTTGCCAGGCAGGCTCTTGTGCCACTGAGCTGTATCCCCGGCTGTCGGTGTCGCTCCCGGCCGGCAGGAAGAACACACGACAAAATCTGGCGGTGGCGAACTGTTCTATTTTATTTCTCTCCTCCTTCACAGTCTACCCCGGGACTCGTCCCGGCCGAAGCCTCTGTTGGTCCGCTCCCCGCGGCTCCTTCCGTGCTTCTCCCTCCAGGGGTGGAGGTACTGGCTATATATAGGATTGTGGCCTCCAATCAAATCAAGGTGGGTCGCGTAAGCTGATTGGCTAGCAACATTAGTAGCTAGGCAGACTACCCTGCGAGGCGGGAACTTAGTGGGGTGATAGGGATCAGGAAGCAGGAAACAGGCGCCACCTTGGCGGGCTCGATGGGAGGGGTAATCTAGCTCAGGCTTTTGTACTTTCCTACAGGCCTCGCGATCACCGCGTCTGATGACCTGGCAGTGCCACGGCTCCCAACATCTCCCCCTTCTTTATTTTCTAAGAAAATACGCGTCGAAGCCTGTCCTGGACTGGGTGTAGAGGCTTGTGCCCTATATGCAGGCCCGCCACAGGTCCTTGGCGTCGACCCGGTCGGCCGTACCATGGTCGGCCAAGGCCTTGAGGCCCTTGTCCTTTTTCTAGGGCCAGGCGCGAACTGGACGGAACCTGGATGCACACAAGCTTGCACTCATTTCTCTCCACGAATCCCCTCGGAGAGAAATTTAGACCTAGGCAGCATCTAACAATCCAGCGGCTTTCGAGCGGAACGGGGTAGGGCCTGGCTTAGGTTGAGTCGCACCGGGGAAGTGCGCTCTTACCCGTCTTTGACTCATCTACCCAACGATGCTGTGCTTATGGGGAAGAATATGGGAAGCTCATTGCACTCAAACCCGGTCGTAGGCCAGGCGAGCGAGCCATGCATATGCCTGAGGGTCCTCCTGCCCATTTCGAGCCGCCTCCAGAGCCGCATGGGCGACCAGACGGATCTGGCGTCGGGCCGCCGCGAGGCGATTGTTGATGAAGGAGGTGGCCCATCGAAAAACGCATGGGCCTATAAGCAAGATCAGGAACAAGGAGCATAGCGGGCCAAGATATCCTCAGTTGCCTATGGACGGGGGGGTTCCACCTCCCAGCAGACATCTGCACAATCAACTGATGAAGTGTACCTCTGAGGGGGAGATGTAGCGGTACCCCCTTTGCAATCACAGGGGTTCCCATGGATACTGGCTCTTAGGTCGTCTCTAGACATAGGGCCCCCAAAACCAGCATGTACCATATCAATCCTGAGGAAGAGTAGGACGACAGCTCCATGGAGGGAGGTGGTCCTATATTTTTTCATCTTGCTCGCTGGTCTGTAGTTGGTCTTTAGCTGAGCAGGCCTGATCTCTGATCAAGGGGCTTGTCGCTCGTGTCAGTCTCTCTGGTACCCACAATGGTTCTCGTCCCGGTTCCTGTGGGAAGACACAAACCGCACCTCGGTTCCAGCTGATCACCGGATCCGGGCCCATCCATTGTCCTGTCAGGACGTCCTTCCATTTAACCCAGCCTCTATGGTTGTGAAGGCTTGCAGTGCTCCATAGCTGGGGAGCAATTATCACCATTTAAATTTAAAAAATTATGTGTAAATAGTGCCATGGATAATCGTGCCTTTGGGGGCAGTCCTTGACCTACTCCCCCTTTTTGTTTATCTAGAATTGCTTTGAGACTTCTGTGAGCCCTTTCGATAATTCCCTGACCTTGAGGATTGTATGGGATACCATGTTTTAACTGGACTTCCATCATTGCGCAGAACTCATTGAAGGCTTTCCCCGTGTAAGCTGGTCCGTTATTGGTCTTTAATGTTTTGGGTTTGCCCCACGCGGCCCAAGCCGCCAGGCAATGATTGATTACATGAGACACTCTTTCGCCTGCCTCTGCTGTTGCAAATATGATATGAGAGCAGGTGTCTGTGGAGACATGGACATATTTTAGAGTCCCAAACTCTTGGATATGTGTGATGTCCATCTGCCAAATGTCACCAGGGACCAAGCCCCGAGGGTTTACACCCATCGGTATGACAGGTTTATATGTGGCGCAAGAGCCACATAGTCGCACGATGTCTCGTGCCTCTGCTCTGGGAATCTGGAAATGGCTTGCTAGTGTCCTGGCATTGATATGGAACTTATCATGGAAGGCGTGGGCTCGCTCAATTGATGTCTGAAAGGAAAAAATCCATAACGGGCGAGTGGCGCCATCAGCGGCCGCTTTCCCCTGTGCCATAGGCCCTGGCAGGGATGTATGTGCTCTTATGTGGGTGGTGAAGACCTTATGGTGTCTGTTCTGAAGCAATGTCTGGATAGACAGGAACAGCCCAGCCACTGTGGAAGTGGATCTAATTAAACCGGCAGTCTCAAGCACTTGCATAGCATTGACCACATACCTAGAATCGGAGACAATGTTAATGGCTCCTGAGAACCTTTCAAGAATCATTTTAACGATCTGCAGTTCCACCACCTGAGGCTGATCTGGTTCAAATTGTATGGTAACCGGGGGCTTGCCTAGGATCACATAGGCGCCTATCCCCGTCTTGGAGCCATCTGTATATATTGTAGTTGCTGGGACTAATGGCTCAGAGGCAGTAACCTTTGGAAAAATTACAGGGTGCTGAGTAACAAATGACAAGATAGGGTCTTTAGGGTATTGATTGTCTATATCCCCATGGAAAACACATCTCAAAATGGCCCAAGTATCTATGCAGGCAGCCAGGGTCTTGATCTGGCTGGCGGTATAGGGTACTCGGATGGCTTGTGGTCCTGAGCCAAAATGTTGGACAGCTCTATCATGCGCTTCAAGGGCCAATGAAGCGACTGCCTCCGGGTAATGTTCTATGACTTTTGCAGGTGAGACCTTAGGGTGTATCCACAGGAGTGGTCTTTTCTGCCAAATCACCGCTGTGGGCTGTAGACTAGTCTGCAGCAGACAGACGTCAAAGGGTCGCCCTGGTTCAATTCTGTGTAAGGTAGCCCCACCTAAGGCTTTTTTTACTCTCTGTAAGGCAGCTCTTGCCTCAGGAGTGAGCCTCCTGTGGGAGGCTATATCTGGGTCTCCCTTCAGAAGGTCGAACGGGGGTTTGAGATCTGAATTTGGTATATGTAAATATGGCCTAATCCAATTAATGTCTCCCAATAGCTTTTGCATGTCATTTAGGGTCGTAACGCCATCCGTCCTAATGGTGACCTTCTGCGGAGAGACTAGCATAGGGGAGATTCTCGCGCCTAAGTAGGTCACCATTTCTCCTCCCTGAATCTTGTCGGGGGCAACATGCAGATTGGCTTGTCTCAAGGCCTCGACCAACTGGCCGAGCATATTATTTAGCATGTCTGGGTCCCTGCCGCTGAACAAAAGGTCGTCCATGTAATGCACACATCTTATCTTGGGAAAGGATTTCCGTAGGGGGGCCAGTAGGGATCTGACACATAGTGGGACTGTTGGCCATACCTTGGGGCAGCGTTATCCACTCGTATCTGAGATCAGGGCTTTCTTGGTTAATGGTGGGTAAAGTAAAGGCGAACCTATGGGTGTCCTCTGGATGCAGGGGGATTGAGAAGAAACAGTCTCTAAGATCTATAACATAAATCGGCCAAGACTGAGGGATGGCTGAGAGAGCTGGCAGCCCCCTCTGGACCGCCCCCAGGGACTGCATCTGCGCGTTGACCGCCCTTAGATCATGGAGCAGCCTCCACTTGCCAGACTTTTTCTTAATTATAAAAATGGGGGCGTTCCATGGGGAGGTCGACGGCTTAATGTGTCCTAATCTAAGTTGTGTACTGACTATTTCTGACAAGGCTAATAGCTTCTCCTTAGGCAGGGGCCACTGAGGTACCCAAACCGGATCATTTGATTTCCAGGTGATTTTGATCGAAGTGGGTAGGAGAGCTTCTTCAGCGGCCCCTAAGAAAAACCCAGCCCTTGCCTACCTTTTCTGTTCTCTACTGGTATTGGGGATGTCCGACCCTGTAGGGCATTGCCCAAGCCTTTGCCGGGGGTATATCCCTGGTTCCTGAGTATATCCTTAGCCTGGGGGGAGCAGTTTGACGTAAGTGTGACATCCATCTGAGTGAGGATGTCCCTTCCCCATAGAGACACTGGCAACTGCAACACAAATGGTTGGAAATGGCCCTGATGACCCTCCTCATCGCACCAGAGAAGGGTTGAGGCGCTAACCTGGGGGGCTGACACCATCCCCAGACCTTGGAGCGTGTTGTCTGCAGTGTTGGTAGGCCAGCCAGAAGGCCAGTTCTTTCTGGAGATAATGGAGCGATCAGCTCCTGTATCTAAGAGGCCTGTTATACTCTTACCATTGACTTTGAGTGAAAGCATGGGTCTTTTATCAAGTGTCATGTGCAGCCCCTCGAAGACCTCCCCGGAGGAGCCAAAGTGTTGGTTTCCTCTAATCTTTTGTTTTGCCGGGAACCTCCCATGGAGACTGGGAAGCAGCAAGAGCTGCGCTATCTTATCTCCCTTATTGATCACCATCGTACCCGCAAGGGACTGGACCATAATTTTGACATTTCCCATGTAGTCTGAGTCAACGACCCCAGGGATCACCGTAAGACCCCGGAGGGCGGTGGAGGATCTTCCGATTACCAGACCCACGGAATTCTCGGGAAGTGGCCCCCGGAAGGTGGTCTTGACTATCTGAACACCCATGTCAAGCGCTAATATGAATCTGGAGGCGACACTGAGGTCCACACCTGCTGACCCAGGGGTGGCCCTTGTTGAAGGCTGCCATCCTGTGTTGTCCTGTCTCTGGGGCGGGGGCCCGCCTGTGAGGAGGGCCCCCTCTGGCCGTTTTTTGGCTCTCTAGCATCTCGTCCACAAATACGGTTGCCCTGAGCATCAAAGACCGACCTACACTCCTCAGCTTTGTGTGGTCCCTTCTTGCATCGCCCACAAACATATGGCTCTTCATTCCTAGGACGGGGCCTAGCATCTGCATTGTTTGGGCAGTGACGTTTAATGTGTCCTGGCTCCCCGCAGGCAAAACACCCTTTGGCCTTACGTTCCTCTCCTGATCCGCGGGGTCCCTTCTGCTGTACAGCTGCTGCCAGGAGAGCGGCAACTCCCGAATTGGAGAGCGGCCCCCCGATCTCTCTGCATATTCTGATCCAGTTGTTAAGATCCTTGTTCTTATGGGGGGCTATTGCTGCTTTACATTCCTTTGTGCGTTGCTCGAAAATCAACTGTCTAACCAGCGGTTGAGCCACTTCCCTATCGGAAAAGATCTTATCGGCGGCATCTTGCATCCGAGCCACAAAATCAACGAATGGCTCTGTTGTGCCCTGGACTATCTTAGAGAGGCACAAGGATGCCGCTCCGGCACCACTCACCTGCTTCCAGGCGCGAAGCCCAATGGTATTGATCTGCTCATAAACTGCACCAGGGAACTGAGTCTGATCATCAGCGTGTTGGCCTTCCCCCATAAGCATGTCTCTATTCCACCCCCGGTTCCCTCGGTTAGCGTTTCTTTCCGCCTGTTCGGCAGCGAACTCGGCGTACCAGGCCCGCCAATCCAGGTAACTACCCGAGGGCAGACACGCCTTTGCCAGCTGAATCCAGTCCGTGGGGGTGAGGGGTCCCGCAGACAGGTTCTCTAGCATAGCGATGGTATATGGCGCCGTCGGCCCAAAGGTTGTGACTGCATTCTTGAGTTCTCTAATCTGTTTTATCTCAAAAGGCTCCCATGCATTACGTCCCTGGCCCATAGCTATTTGCACGGGGAATATCCCATAGGGGCCACTGTCTATCCCAGGCAGCAGATGGTCCCCGAGGGGCAGACACCCGCCCTGCCAAAGCCGCCTATGAAAGTACCGTCCAGCAGGCGGCGGAGCGTCGTAAGATGGCGGCCCATGTATCACTTCCTGTTCTGATGGAAGAAGGGGGAGCTCCCACGTGGCTGCCTCGCGGCGGGGGACCGCCTCGGGGGGCGGCCCCCAAGGCGGGGCAGAGGGCTTAACTTCCTTCTCCAGCCAGGGGGCGCTCAGGAGCTCCCTGCTCTTCCGTAGACCAATTTGGGCGGAGCGCAGCTCGCGGCACAGCGCGGCGAAGGACCCCCGCGATTCTTTGTCAGGTGGCTTATCCTCCTGGCATCCAGACCCTTCTGTCTCGCCTCCATTCAGGTCCTCCTCGTCCTCAGAGTCGGACGACTCCGGGGCCTCAGTCCTACCCTCCCCCCTTGTCTCTCTATTCCCCTTGATGGATCCTTCTCGGGAGCTCCCTGACTGAGTCTGTTCAAAAACCCTGCGTGCCTCGGTAAGTTCTTGAGAGCTTTCCCCGCTTCCGCACTCGACCCTCAGGCACGCATATATCATTTCCCACAGAGGCCGAGCGGAAACCGATGCTCTGCCCTCCCTCTCCGCTAGAGAAAGGTCCCTACCCAGCTTTTCCCATGAGGGTAGGTTTAGATGCCCCGTAGGCAAGAACCAGGGGGCGAAGCTGTCAATCTCTTCTAAAAAATTTTCCAGAGTCTTGCGCCCTACCTTAAGATCTCTTGACTTTAAGAGCTTCCGGAGGACCTGCACCAGGGGCTGAGTGTCCCTACTCGGTACATTTCCCATTTTTAATATGTTGCTCACCGCGTGAGGTCTAAGGGTCCACCACTTACGTGTGAGCCTGAGAGGAGTCTACAAACCCTGTAGGTGCGCGCCACCCAGGGCCCAGGCTTATCCCCTACTCACCTGTCCTGTAGCTCTGTGTCGAAGGACTTTATCCACCGCCTCGTCTCAGGGCTGATCAGTTCCCCGTACGGGCCACCAGATGTCGGTGTTGCTCCCGGCCGGCAGGAAGAACACACGACAAAATCTGGCGGTGGCGAACTGTTCTATTTTATTTCTCTCCTCCTTCACAGTCTACCCCGGGACTCGTCCCGGCCGAAGCCTCTGTTGGTCCACTCCCCGCGGCTCCTTCCGTGCTTCTCCCTCCAGGGGTGGAGGTACTGGCTATATATAGGATTGTGGCCTCCAATCAAATCAAGGCGGGTCGCGTAAGCTGATTGGCTAGCAACATTAGTAGCTAGGCAGACTACCCTGCGAGGCGGGAACTTAGTGGGGTGATAGGGATCAGGAAGCAGGAAACAGGCGCCACCTTGGCGGGCTCGATGGGAGGGGTAATCTAGCTCAGGCTTTTGTACTTTCCTACAGGCCTCGCGATCACCGCGTCTGATGACTTGGCAGTGCCACGGCTCCCAACACCCGGCCCCTCATGTGGCTCTTAGGTTAAAACGCCTGACAGCTCTGCCAGTCATTGCTTGCTCCTCTGCACCTTCCCTGTTTCTGTAGCTACACTGTAAGCCCTGTGGGCAAGACCAGGGCTCATAGATGCGAGAACCCAGATGTGCCCACAGAAGATGTCTATCGGTATTTCTAGAGACAGCATGGCTGCTTGGGAAGGGATTGTACTGTGAGCTGACTCAGCAATAAGTATTAGTCTTTTTGGACTAATGTTGTTAACAATTGCATTACAATGATTTTGACCTACTTATAAGTGATTTTTAAAAAATAATTTGAAATTTATTGTGTTGAAAGTTTTGTGTCATTATTCATGAGCCTGAGTATCTTAACACCCAACAATATCTCAGTCATATGTGAGACCCATCTATGTGCTTTTTAAAAATGTGCTTTAAAACACATTTGTCATGTCTGCCTTCTTGGAAAATTGACTTTAATTGTACAGTTCCAAATAAAAGATACTTGGCTTTAAACTGGCGTTTAGTATTGGCTGTTACTCATATTTGCGTGGTTTTACTGTGTGTCTTAGTTACTTATCACTGAGACATACTACTTGCCCCCAATAACTCTAACTAAGGAGAGGCTTAGTTATCTCACAGTTTGTAGAGGTTTTGGTCCATAGTCAGCTGACTCCAAGGCAGGGTGGCAGGGTAGAGGAGAGGAGCGGGTCAGAGGAGAGAGAGCGCGGGGCAGGGCAGGCGGGAGGCAGAGGGGTCAAGCAGGCTGAGTATATAACCTCTTCCTGGCCAGGCCCACGGTGGCCACCTCTTCCCACCAGGCTTTGATCGCCAACTTCACACACAGCTATAAATCCACCAGTAAGTAACCTTGTGATGGGTATCACCTGCGATCCAGTCACCTCCCAAAACCCCTTCTGTGGTTTATACATCTAGATATAAACCATAACACTCTAAAAACTGCAGCATAGCTTATAGCAAGGATATCCAAGCTTTTATTCTTATATGAGTTTTCTACACTTTTTTTTGTAATGATACTAGGGATTTAACTCGGCTCCCTGTGTCTAGGCAAGTGTGCGACCACGAAGCCGAACTCCTCGCCCGTTTCCTGCTTCTTAGGAAGTTTTCATGAATATGCATCCTGCATCCTCTGACTAGAGGCAGCCACTGTAACTATTTGCTCAAGGGTCAACTGGTCACTTACTTAGCTCCCCAGGAAGATTCTGGGAGGGCGCAGGTGAACCTTGGTGTCAGCAGAATAAGAACAAGTTATTGTAAGTTATTTGATCACTACAGCTACATATAGACCTCACACTTAGATATCTTTATTGAGTTTCAGAGGTCACCTGAAAAGTTCATGGCTTAAAATGAAGACGATGGAGCCTGGCAGGCTGCACCACGGAAATACTTTCCCTGAGTAGAGGGTGTCCGAGAGACCAAAGGATTGCAGTCTGATTTATAGACTGCATTTCTGGAGGTTTTTCTTGGCCTGTTTTGTGACTGTGTTTCTCATCTGATACCGAGAAGTACATCTAGTACAGACAGACCAGACAGTTGTCTTTGTGGGTTAGACTTTCTAACCACGTGTCTCTTTGGACTTTGGAGCCACTTTATCTTAAAACTGAAAATCTATTACTGATAAACAATGCAGGGAGCAAGGTTTTATAGTTTTAAGCTGGTTAAAATGTCCCAAGGAGCTGGACATAGTGGGTTTGGAGACTGAGACAGGAGGAGGCCGTCTGGGTGGCTTAGTGATTTGGTGAGTTGCTGTCTCAGGAAGTACAAAGCAAACAAAACACAAAACAACTTAGTTTGAAAGCCCTAAATTCAGTCCCCAGTGCTGGAGAAAAAAAGGTCATGGTCATAATTATGACTTACAGAGCAACAGCCACCCACCGCCTTACTGGGTATTGAACCCAGGGGTGCTCTGTCACTGAGCTGTATTCCTAGCCCCATCCCCTGCTTTTCAGATAGAGTCTTACTAAGTTGCTCAGGTAGGACTTGAACTTGTGATCCTGTCTCAGCCTCCCTCAGTGCTGGGATTATAGGCAGGCACCAGAACATTTGATGGCATTTTCTTCTAGCAGCGTCCCTGCAATGCTCTCAGGAATCTGAGCACCTCACATAGTTTTGCTGTGTACAAGTAAATTGCCTAAGCTAGGCCAGGCTGGAGGCCCTCACCGGGACAGGTCTAAAAGTGACTGGCAGGATGTTCCCCGGATTGTGCGTTGCTGTTCAGAGATGAGCAGTCTCCTCCGGTGGTGGTGCTAAGCTGGGGTCCCTGAGCTTTGGAGGGCTGCAGTGGGCTGATCCCTGGACACAGCCAGGAGAAGAGAGTGGTGCAAGAGGCCCAGGAGCAGCCATTCCTCAGCCCCTGCATCAACCTGTCTGAAACGAGCCCCAACATCTGAACTTGTCAGATCTATGAACCAGTGGATTCCTTTCCCCTTTAGCTTGTACGACTTGGATGTCTTATCAGTTTGAAAAGTTCTTGTATAAGACTTTTTTCCTTCAAAATTATTTTCCAGCTTAGGAACTGTTCTTTGTGTCTTCCTGTGCTTTTTCTTTGAGATCATATTTGCTTTTTATATTCAATATGCGTGAGAGAAACAGAACACCATCTGTTTGGAAGGAAGAGCTTTCAAGAAAAGCAGAGAGTAGAAATGGTATTTATAAGTTGACTGTAAAATCGAGAGAAATAAGGTATTTGAGATTTACCAGTAGGGAGTCTGAGGCTGAGGCTCTCAGGTTAATAGGATTGGCTGTTCCTGGTTAGGGATGTTAGCATAGATGCTGTAGCTATATCTAGATTCTAGATTCAGTGACCCCCAGCCTCAGGAGCTCACATATGTGGCTTTTCAAAGCTGGCTGGATCACAGGTGTGTGGTACTGGGATTAAGGGTGTGTGGTTCTAAATTAGTCCACTGATTGGTTTAGTGTAGTTCTGGGTGCACTGAATAGATTCACTGAAGATAGAAGCCCCACTCTGGGTGTGTGTGTGCCACCAACCAATAGGCTTGTAACAAAGCCAACGGAATTAGAAGGCAATGAGAAGACACAGGGAGGCTGCTGTTTCCTGCCTGCCTGCCCTCAGGGGCTGTTTTTCCTCCGTGATGCCCCTCTGCCACGCCACCCTGTCTCAGAGCCAGCCAACTATGGACTAAAACCGCCACAAACTGTAAACTGAATTAAACTTTTTTCCTTTAATTTGTGAGTATTGGATATTTTGTTCCAGCAATCAGTAGGTAATTAAGACAAAATAGCTTTTAAGAAAATTGGTTTGGGGCTGGGGATTTAGCTCAGCGGCATAAGCGCCTGCCTTGCAAGTGCATGGTCATGAGTTCGATCCCCAGTACCAAAAAAAAAAAAAAAAGAAAATTGGTTTTTGGAAGTTGGATTGGTTGGTAACAGTAAAAAGCCCTCCTCCTCCTCCTCCTCTTCTTCTTCTTCGTCGTCTTCTTAGTCTTTGTCTTTTTTGTCTTCTTCATCTTCTTGTTCTTCTGCAATCCATTTTGTGTATACGGTTCTGCTGAATTCATGTTTAGATCTTACAGTACTGGGGCTAGAACCCAGCCCCGTGTTTAATTTTTACTTAATTCTTTAAAAAATAGATGGTATATGTACATTGTATAATTTCAAATTATATAAGAAATGAAAAGTAAATTTGTTTCTCTTTTTATTGTCCAGTTTTATGATGTCCCTAGCCAAAGACAGCCTTTTTTTCAGTTTATTTCATATCCTTCCAGGGATTTTCTGTGTCCATGGAATACTTGTTATGGAATAAAAACTGGGGGTCATTTTAACAACAGCTGAGTTAAATCAGTATGGTGTTGCATGTAGATGGCCCACCTGAGGAAAGTTGCCAGCATAATCAGAGACATGGACAAGAAGAGTTAGGCATTGTGGGTTCTCCTAAGTGTTGCTGTTTCGAGCCACTGGTTCTCCTGGAGGAGCTCATTATGACTAGCTTCCCCAATATGAGTTTAGCCACTGTCATCAGAGGAGCTCAGGACCTTGTGGTGAGAGTGACTTTGGTTCACTATGGGGGAGCTCTGGTCTTTACATGAGCATTACTTCCTGGCTCTGGAGGGGAAAACGTGTGCCGTTAAATCTCCAGGAGAAGCTTGTCATGCTGACTTTCTGGCATGTACTTGACTGTTCTCATCAGAGGAGCTCAGGACCTCAATGTCACTAAGGATGGCTATGGTACTTTTTGCGGGAGCCTGGTTCTTATTTTGAGCATCAGTTCTTGGCTCCAGTGCAGACCCCAATCTACTGGCACAGCTCCTTCACCCTGCTGGCATAGACTTTCTGACTTCCACTGCTGACCTTTGGGCCTTTCCAGAAGATTCTAAAAACAGACTGGCATAAGTTGTAAGCTCTAGACCACCAGTTGGACTCCTGTGGGAGGTTTTGTCATGGGCTCTAGGTCTTCAGCTGGACTCATGCAGGACATTGCTGTGGGATCCAGGCTCTTGGCTGAATATCCTAAGTCTTTGGTATTGTGGGCAGATTTCCTGCACTTTCTGTGTTTAACTCTGGATAACCATCATAAAATAATATTATAAATTCTGTGTCTGATTCTGGTTGTTCTCCTCATAACCCCTGACTACCACAGAAATTGGTACCAAAAGAGTGGGGTCATTGCTGTTACGTTGTCTGGCCATTTGCTTTAAAAGCCTTGGAAATTGGGACTGGGTATTTAGCTCAGCAGCATAAGCACCTGCCTTGCAAGCGCACAGTCGTGAGTTTGATACCTGGTACCGATAAAATAAAAGCCTTGGAAATTAATCTGGAAGGTTTTTGAGAGACTGCCCCTGTATGCTGTGACCTATACTGGAGACTCTGGTGGAAGCCTTGAAAATCAGAGTAATGATGGAAATGCTGCCAGGTAAAATGAAGCTCAGGAGGCTTCTGTTGAGGACTGCATTGGCTGCGGGAGTCCAGGTAGGACATTGTGCTTTGCCTGAAAGTTGTGCTTTGCCTGAAAGTTGTTCTGCATTTTGCTTGTTAGAGATATTATCTGGGTGGCAGAAAAATTTCAGTGCAGTCTATTGTTGGGATGGTAGCACAGTCACTTCTGAGAGCTTTTGTCCAGATACATGTTGGAAATTTAGAGCAAAGAGCCAGTAGAGTAATGTAAACGTAAACATTTGGCCAGAAAGAAGGCTCCCGTGGAAATGTGGGTTGCAAGGATGAAACAGAGGAGAACATAGTTGTTTAGAAGAACAGGACAATGGAAAAATGAACTGAAGTCTTTTACCTGAAGATAAGAGTATATATATTTGAATTGCAGGAAATTCTTACATTTTAGTCTTGCCATGCCACATTAAAAGTTAATGGGAAGCAAGGACTGTGATTGCAATTGCGTTTAGTTTGATTTTAATGTTGTTTTTATATGTTTGTAACCAGATTAATTAATCAAAGTATTTTGTTTTAATGTTGAACCTTGGTCACTCTTTGAAATATTTTGTTTTTGGTTCAGGAATAAGTGTAAAAAGAATTGTATATATGTA